AAATTCACAACCTGTAAGTTTTTCCTTGATGAGTTAGTTTCATTTACTACTTAGTCACAGCTTTAAATGGGGAAAACTCAAATTCATTTTTCTTTCATTTAAATAGGAAGTCCATGATTGCAAGTCATTGAACATGCTAATAAGATATATTAAAGTGATAAAAAAACGTAACAAAGGTTCAACTGGAGATCTAGAATCTGAGTTTTTCTTTTTCAATATTCCCATGTCGAGTCTAAAGTTCTCAACTTCTGACAGCGGGCTATGTCATTCTGCGGGCCTGGTGTGAGAATCTAGACACTGACAGTAATGCAAGGAAGCTTTCTACAAATCAGATGGATTCCTGGTGGGTACAAAAGATGAAACTGAAGCGGCAGGGATGGCACAGTAAGAGATCATCCAAGAAAGATAACAAAATAATTCTTTGGTTTGAAGTTGACGACACTGGTTGCGGTATGAAACTTAAGCGATATAAAAATATATGAATTAGACATAATTAATCTTGTTTCTAACTACTTCATTTTATGTCTGACCTTTGCATTTCTCAACTACTAGGGATTGATCCAAGCAAATGGGAATCTGTGTTTGAAAGTTTTGAGCAAGCTGATCCCTCAACAACTCGGTTGTAAGCAGTTTATAAGTCTAGATGTTGAGAGGCATTATTTAGGGTTATTTTTAATTCCTTTACAATTATATTTTTATCTATAAAAGCAACTGATCTAATCACTGGAACTGAAGCACTGGGAATTAATATAACTGATGGTTTTCTTTAATTTTCAGGCATGGGGGCACTGGCCTCGGCCTGTGCATAGTACGAACCTTGGTGAGTTGAATAATTTTTTAGAACTAGTCTTTGAATTCAGAGATATACATCTAAAAGAAGATATTCCATGTACAGCATGAGAAGGAATATGTTTGAGACTAAGCAACTTTAAGGGTGTGTTTGGTGGATATTATTGAGGAAAGAATATATTTTAAATAGTGATACGATGAGAAATATGTGGTTAAAAAGTAAGGAAAAGTTATTGATGTGATTGAAAATATTATTTTATTGAAGAATGTGTGGTTGGAAATGAGTTTTGAAAGAATGTGTGCCAAACAGGGGCTAAGTATGTAGAGACATTTTAAGTTACTTTTAAGCTTAGTCAAACATGCCATGCACATGTATCGGAAACTGGTAGACCGAGTTAAATTATCGATTAGCCTTTGAGTGATCCATAATGTGTTGCACAAAAATATTGCTGAAATTTTATCTCACTCTGTATCTGTTGATTCTGTATAATGATAATATTATTGCTAACAGGTCAACAAGATGAATGGAGAAATCAAAGTGGTGAAGAAGAGTGGACCAGGAACCCTGATGCAACTGTATCTGATTCTCAGCACACCAGCAGAGAGCACAAAACAGCAGTACCTATCAAATCTCAAAGAAAAGAACCTGACTGTGAGGAGAACTACTACACATTCCTAATTCTCGCTTTACACTAAAAAAATTCACTTTAACAACATATTAGAATGCTGATGTGTAATGATATTAAACAACCCAGATGTAGTCTGTGCTAATGAAAATCAGGATGGGCTAGTGTTACACTTGTAAAAGATGTCCTAAAAAGCATTCAATTAAACAATGTTCCATGCTAAAATGAATTTTACATTGTTACAAATTTCTTTTGTTTCAGAAGTCCTAGCAATTATTGATTAGTGAAGTTGAATGCAGGTGTTGCTTGCACTTAACGGCAGAATGACCAGAATGATTATGAGCCAGTGGTTGCAAAAAAATGGGGTGTACACTTATGAAGCCTCTGATTGGAATGGGTTGACACAAAATCTTCAGGAACTCTTCAAAGTACAAAGCCTAAACTCACTTTCAAAACCTGCAGAATCAAACCTAGAAAGCAGTATTGCCTCTGTTTTGATCATAATTATTGACATTGGACTCCTCGACTTGAGCACTGATATATGGAAGCAACAGCTTGATGTTCTACAGAAATACTTTGGCAGAGTGACATTTGCATGGATCTTAAATCATGACATCTTCAATACCATTAAGACAGAACTCCGGAGCAGAGGGCATCTGTTGATGGTTAATAGACCTCTGTACAAAGCAAAAATGATTCAGATATTAGAAGCTGTCATAAGGGACAGGAATTTTCAGCTGCAAAACAATGTGAATGGTTTACCAGCTACGGTAGCGGAAAGACAAGTCCATGAATGTCTTGAAATCGATGCTATACACTCTACTTCTGTCAGTTCGGGTGATTCCGACAAGTCCGAGAAAGTGAGTTCTAATACTATAAATGCATTTCATGGTTCCGAGAAGAGCAGTGAACATTTCTCTGATGCACTTTCCCTGCAATGCGTTATACATAGTAACGGCTCTTCTTCTGACCTAACTCGAGCAAATCTAGAAGAGGATGCTTCTGACATGGATGGTCTAGATCAAAGAAGATGTAAAGAACAAAATTGGACTAGATCTTCTCCAGAAGATAAAGGTAGTGCATGCTCGTATAAGGTAGTGAATGAACGAAAATCTCTCGAGGGTCTACGCATACTTCTTGCAGAAGATACGCCAGTACTGCAGAGAGTTGCAACCATAATGCTGGAAAAAATGGGGGCTGAGGTAGTTGTTGTAGGAGATGGAATCCAGGCCGTTGATGCTCTACAATACATAACTATTTCAAATGAGTATAAAGAGGAATCCCTCTTGGTTGATAACAACTTGAGAACCACTCGTACAGAAGAATTGCCATATGACTTGGTTTTAATGGATTGTCAAGTAAGTTTATGAACTGTAGTATTGATAACGTTTTCGTTTTAAATTTATGTTCACAAGATAGGCGTTTTTTTTAAAAAAAAAACCTTCTATCTCTATAGAAATTGTGAGTTGTTGAAGATCAAGTCTAAATAAATGTGTTCCCTCTGTAACGATTTAAACTTTTAGTTAAAATGGTTCTGAACGAAATTTGAGCAAGGAGAGGTCCCTGGTCCGCCATTCAAGTCTCATCATTTTATTTCTGAAAAATTGTTCCATGTTTCAAAGTCTTGATGAAAAATTGAATCTTGTCTGCACTTGACAGGACATATTGAAGCCTAAATTTAAATGAATCATTGTGCCCCCTCCCTAACAGTCTAAGCTTTTAGATGAGTGGTTCTACTTTATCATATTATTCTCTTCTTCCTAACTTGACCATCACGTATTCATTTAAATTTTATTTTGTTTATTGTGGAGTCATTTGCAGTAGCATCAAATTTTACAACCTTTTTAAACTGCAGATGCCAAAGATGGACGGTTATGAAGCAACAAGGGCTATCAGAAAATCAGAATCTGGAACTGGATTGCACATCCCAATTGTTGCACTAACTGCTCATGCGATGTCTTGCGATGAAGCAAAATGCTTAGAAGTTGGTATGGATGCTTATCTTACAAAGCCAATTGACTGTAAACGCATGGTTTCCACCATCCTTTCTTTAACTAAGAGAATAGTCTGGCCGTAAAACTTTGAACTGCTCCAGTACTGGTGGTTCTACACACGTAACACACAGGAAAATAAGATAAGGTATCGAAAAAAAGAGAAAAAATTAACTAAATAAATAAGCTCATGCACAGTTTTCGTGTATAGAAAAGATTGGCTACTTAATTTTTTTTGCTTCTACATGTATACCAAGCTTGTTATCACATATTCTGAGTTCTCGATTTAGTTAGTTCACATGTCAGTATATTTTTATAATAAGTTTTAAACTGCAAAACTTGCTAATGAAACTAAAAATATCTCTCTACCTACAGTAGTATTTTAACCAAAAGCGGAAAAATTGAATAATTATTTGTGAATTATGTGAAGAATCTCCAGGTAGGGTTCCTTAGATACATAAAATTATAGGATACCTTAGGGCGTGTTCGATAGAGATTAAAATCGGATTAAAATTGAAAAATTAGCCGTTATTGTTGACTTTTATTAGACAAGTGAGACCCAATAACGGCTATATTTTCGATTTTAATTGGATTTTAAGCTTAGTCTTTTGAAAATATATTCAAAAGTTAACTTGATGTAGTTTCATGTACCATTGCTTCAACAAGATGAGATTAATTTCTTGGTTAAAGTTGCCATGGAATATATTGGGGGGTCCACGTCAACTGTCAGGAAAATAAATTCTATCCTCGTTGTCTCTGCAAAGGAGCAACTTGCGAGTCTGCTCAGCATTTTCAAAGATGAATGAGTGACTTTACACTTTGATGCTTAATTCAGTGTGGTTGAAATTTTGCAATGTTTTAGCCTTAAATGTGCTGGTTTGAAACACTTGGGGTTGGGACATTTAGGCCTCGTTTGTCCCCCATTATTTCAAAACATTGTTTGTTACATTAAGATTCTCCACAAAACATTCACCCAATAAAATATTCTACACATAAACAAATAAAGTTACTTTAAATTTTAACAAATTCTCCAAAAATATTATTCATTACTCTATTTTTTCTACAATAATGGAAGACAAACACACACTTATGTGCTTCTCATTAGAATGTATGATAGAATCATCTTTTCAATCCAAATCTTATACATGTTTTACCAATCAAATTGTGCTGAATTCTTCTTTGTGAACTTATTACAAACCTTGAAGATTATCGAACTGTTTTTCGCCCTTTTCTTAGAATGTGTGTTTACCTTACTCAATTCAGTTCAATATTTACACAAAAAACTGACGAGGGTTTTTCATGGAGTGAATGAAATGAACCTCTAGAGGTAGTAAATACTCATATGTATGAAGTATGAACCTTTTCAAGCACGATGTAAGTGTATTTCATATTTCATCATTTTCACCGTTATTTTTCCTCTGTATCTTTAAAGCCGAGGCAAAGAATCAGACATGGGAAAACATCAAAGCAATGGTTTAAAGATTCCAGACATAAACATCAATATATACAGAAGAAATAGTAAGATAGATGTTATCATGTGTCACTACGACATCTCCAATGAAATAAGATCAATATGTTTGGACATTTACATTAGTTAATTGGCGCTTCTGTTTATTGCATACAAGTAACTCAAGATCACCACTGCTGCAACAATAGCAGTTTTTGCCAATATTTTCTTCATGGCCGAAGGATGAGTAAATCCAAGCTCCGAGAGTTTCTTATGTGAGGCTGCGTAATCTCTGAAGAATGCATCTTCATCCTGTTTAGGCGAGAAAGAAAAGATATTGAACTTGGTTGGTAACACGGGAAGCATAATCATGTCAAATGGTTCAAATCTTAAAATTGCTCGTCTCAAATAAACTCTATCTGACGTGTTTTTGAATAGCACACACCCATTTTGGTGATGGAAAACAGTAAGAGAAAAATGATAAATACAGTGAAATCGTAACATACAAACTACATTACCTTAGCATAAAGTTCGACATAACTCCGGAACACAGGATCATCCAGCAGAGCTTTATCAGTAGGAAGTTTTAGGAGACCTTCCGAATCTCCTTTAATAAGCTCCCTGGTTTATCGTATATAAATGGCAATTCAATTAGCAATACATATTAATAAGAAATCTTATACCAATTCAGAAATCTTACACAAAATAAGAATTGTCAAATTTCAGAGGCTCTTTTGTCCAAGGCCCTTCAAATGCCGATCTCTCACGATGAGCCCTTCCCTGTAAAAGATAGTTTATGTTTATTTAGGTCTGGTGATAGTTATCAACTATTAATCAGATGAAGGTGTCGAAAAATACCAATGTGTGACCCCCTGATAATGCTACAATATCCTTCTCAGATAGACCCATTCGATAGAATATGTCCCTTAGATGTGAAGCACCTAGGAATGGGAAAAAAGCAGAACGAAGATTAGAAAAGCATATTTGGTTGATGATTAGACTTGAGCCCACAATTAGTTTCCTTAAAACTTTACGCCAATCCTAGACAAGTACTATAATTTTAGGAATACGAGTATTATGGCTAGCACTAAGTACTTTATGATTAAGGTAGTGTTAGATATGAAAGGACTTCAATGATAACTCGACGTTGTAATGCTGCCACCAAAAAAAAAAAAATTTCTTCCCTTTCACTACATGGGTTACATAAACAACAACAAAAAAAAAAATTCTTCAGACTTATCAATATGGCATTTCAGAGAGAAATATATTGTATTCATACAAAATGGACAGAAGAAACAGTGATGGAGATACAAAAATGAGCCCAAGTTAGTAAAATGCAAATGCAAAAGTTCATCCCTGATAAGCACAATGTAATAGTATAACATAAGCAATATTCATATTCTAAAACATCGTTGAAGGGATCAAGCCTTGTGTCAAGCTTCCAGTGGTTGAATCCACTTTGTCCTGTTTTTTGCACTTCCAGAAACCATCAGTTGCAACTTTTACAAGTGGAAATGTTTTGATTCTATATTACTTCCTTTAGCCTACATGTGGAAATCTGTAAGTCTTAGTCTTTGTGTTGTAATCTCTTTTCTTGTGGTAAGAATTAAGGGTTGTTTAGTACAATCCTTGAGAGTTTTCTGAGTGCTTGGTTACTAATTTGTATATAAAGAGGCTAACAAGAACTTGAAGAAAACTCTGATTTTTTCATACATTTCTGTACGATTTCTTGGTTGATATTAGTGGATCTGGAGCAATATCTCTTGGCAGATGTTCAACGGGTGATTAGGTCAATCGACTGAACATCCGGGCCCTTTTAGGGTAAAACAATTCTTGTGTTCTTGTGTTTTAAGTTTTTCTACAATTTTAAGTTTCTTAACCTTTTGTATAAACTGATTTGTTACATTCTAGGACCAACAAGTGGTATCAAAGTCTGTTTAGAAAACCCTAGTTTTTTAAAATCTTTTATAAATTGCAAATCTATTTTCTTTTCGAAGATTTTTTGCAAGAAATTAGTTTTCTAAAATCCTTGGTTGTTAATCTACTCTCGATTCAACTTTTGGTTGGATCGCCTAGTGATAATTTGGTACTTTTGGGGTTAAATTCTCAAGTCCTTTTGAAATCTTATATTGTTTATGAGATTAAAACTCTTTGTTTTTCAAAACCTTCAAACTCGATTTTGACTCATTTAGATTTGTTGTTTATACTAAACTCCGGCAATTTTGGGTTTGACTCGTTACTTAGTCTTGGTGGATCTTATAACTCGTACTAATTTTTGGCAAGTTGAATTAACTTACTCCAATTCCTACTCAATGTCTGACTCACTACTAAGTGTTACTGAGTTATTGTGACTCGTTGGGTTCTTGTACTTAAATTGGGATTCTTAGTTCAACTTCGGTATTTTCTGATTACTTCCTTCATTCTAAAATTTTGAGATTTCAGATTCCGATATATTCTAAACTCTTCCTTAAATTGGTTAACTGTTCCTGTTAATTCTGAAATTGGTTATTAAGGTAAGTAATCTGCCATTACTTTCCTTTGTCCAAGTTCTCCTGCGAGGATCTAGGAATCTGAGAGAGTAGTGGAATCCAGGGTTACCACACCTTAAACCTGTTTTAAATTCACAATTACATTCGTTAACTGTAATATTTGTGATTGTGTGAATTTCATGATAAGTAGGTACAATTGGTTACACCTGTCTTATTTTGTAATTCATATTTTCTGTAATTCTATTGAGTTGCTTGAATTAAGAATACATTGTGTTGTATAATTGTAATTTTGTGATCATACTTGTCAATATGTCTACTAGACAAAAATTTGAAGTTGAAACATGGAATGATGCTGCAGATGTATGCTGCACAATTCTGGTCTGCCAAGGTTTCTCTAGTGAGAAGCCCTAAAAACTGCCACCTATCTTATAAAGAGAAGTCCATCTAGTTATGTTGATTTTCAAGTCCCTGAAAAACTGTGGTCAGGAAATATACCAGACTATAATAGACTTAAAAATTTTGGCTGTAGAGCTTATTCTCATCAAAGGGAAGGAAAACTTGAACCTCGATCCTTAAAATGTGTTTTTCTAGGCCATGGAGAGGAAACTAACGGTTATAGACTTTAGGTTAAAGGTCAAAATGGTTTTAAGGTGATTATTAACAGAAATGTCATTTTTAATGAAAATGACATACCCTGTAATAATTAATCAGACTTGAAATCTAATGAAGTTGCGCCTGTTAAAGACACTATCTTGGAAAATCAAATTGAAAATGCTGAAAATCAAGATGATGTGATTGAGGTGGAAACTATTCAATTTGAAATAAATTGTTATCAAACTGAATCATAAATCGAAACTGAATCTATCAACCCATCTCTAGCTGATTATCAACTTAGAAGAAATAGAGAATGAAGGAACAAAATACCTTCAACCCGATTCAGTAATGATGATTTCGTAACTCTATTCTGTGCATTAGACTCCTTAAATTCTGAACCTACTACTTTTGAGGAAATTGTTAACTGCCCAGTTTTTAAGTTATGGAAAGAAGCTATAAATGAAGAAATGGATTCTTTAATTAAAAATAAAACCTGGGTTTTAGTTAACAGAGCTAAAGATAAAAAGGTAGTAGTTTTAAAATCAAACAAGGAGATTCTAATATAGAGAATAAAATATAAATATTTCTGAACCTACTACTTTTGAAGAAGTTGTTAATTGCCCAGATTTTGAACCTACTACTTTTGGGTAAAACTAAAAGAATCTTAGAAATGGAAATAGGAATAGAAATAATTGTGTTTATTTTTGAAACAACGTTCTTGTGTAAAGAAAATACTTAAAAAAATTTCTATGCTTGAATGTAAACATGTTTCTTTGCCCATTGCAAATCACTTTAAACTGTCTAGTGATCCGTCACCTAAAACTGATGATGAATTGAGAAGAATGGAAAAAGGTGTAAACATGTTTCTTTGCCCATTGCAAATCACTTTAAACTGTCTAGTGATCCGTCACCTAAAACTGATGATGAATTGAGAAGAATGGAAAAAGGTCCTTATGCTAATGCTGGATGATCTATTATGTACCTTATGGGCTAGACCTGACTTAGCTCATGGTATTAGCATTTTAAATAGATTTATGGTAAATCCACGTGAAACACACTGGTTAGCTATAAAATTGATGTTTAAATACTTAAAAAGTTTTTCTGACTTAGAGCTAATGAGGATACATTGATTCTGATTTTTCTAGTGATCTAGATAAACGAAGATCCACATCATCTTACATTTTTACTGTATGTGATGGATGTATTAGTTCGAAATCTCAACTGCAAAAATTAGTTGCCTTATCTTTAATTGAGGTTGAACATATTGCTGCTTATGATGCTGTTAAAGAAAGTATTTGGTTAAGAGGGTTATTAAATGAAATTAGTTTTATGAATGATTCTGTAAAAATTTACACCGATGATCAAAGTGCTATTCATCTCAGTGAAAATTCGGTATATCATGATAGAACAAAGCATGTTGATATAAAGTTTCACTTTGTAAGAAACATGTTTGAAAAAGGTTTGATCTCCTTAGTTAAAATTACTACTGAATACAATCCCTATGATTTAAGAACCAAAATTCTGACTCTAAATAAATTCAAAAACTGCTTGAAGATTCTAAATATCATCAACAAGCCTTATTTGTTGAAAATTGAATTGACTTTAAATTTTTTTTTCAGGTACTTAGAGCAAATAAAGCTAAGTAATGTCTAGATCCAATAGTTGATGCCAAGAAAGAGTTCGACAAGGTGGAGATTGTTAAATAAGTGGGCTGCCTCACTATTTTAGCCGGTTCGGCTATCTTAATTCTCAAAAAAGGGTTTGGAAGCCCAGTTCTTAAATGAGTTTTCAGTTACACGTTTTTGGCATCTTTGAGTGAGTTGTGATATGCCATACATTTGGTGAATTTCGACCCTGGATCTAAACCAGTAGATAAAGATAGATATTATACTTCGTTTTTCATTCTTCTTCGATGTTGTCTTTGAAAAAGTTCTCTCTCTAAATGAATAAGGGTTTCTCTGAAAATCCGTAACTCTTAATATTTGTGTTGTAATCTCTTTTCTTGTCGTAAGAATAAGGGTTGTTTAGTACAATCCTTGAGAGTTTTCTAAGTGCTTGGTTATTGATTTGTATATAGAAGGGCTAGAAAGAACTCGTACATTTTTATAAGATTTCTTGGTTGATATTAGTGGATCTGGAGCAATATCTGTTGACAGATGTACAACGGGTGATGTTTGTTCCCCTGTTAGGGTTGGCGGTCTTGGATTGAGGAGCCTTGTTTTATTTAACAAGGCATTGTTGGGCAAGTGGTTGTAGCGATTTGGAATGGAGAGGGAGAGCTTCTGGAGAGAAACTATTGGGGTAAAGTATGGTGTCTTGGAGGGGGGTGGCGTTCGGGTGAGGGTCGCGATTCTTATGAGATGAGCTTGTGGAAGTACATCAGGAAAGGTTTCAGAATAGATTGACTTTTGTGGTGGGGAACGGGACGAATGTCAGATTTTGGGACAATTGTTGGTGTGGAAATCAAACACTAAAAGTGCGGTTTCCTTCTTTACATCGCGTTGCCTTAGAGCCTTCAGCTATAGTGAGTGATGCTATGGCTATTTCTAATGGGAATCCTAGTTGGAACATTGCTTTCGGGAGGGGTTTACATGATTGGGAACTGGATGACTATGCATTGTTTTTGGCCTCTCTGTATGATGTGCACATTCAGGTAGGAGAGGATGACTGTACAGGTGGAGGGAGGTACGGAATGGTTTGTTTTCTGTTCGTGCTTATTTCAGATCCCTTTTGGAACCTGTGGAGAGCTCATTCCCCTGGCAAAGTGTCTGGCAAGGTAAATTACCTCCAAAGTGGCCTTTTTACTGTGGATGGTGGTGAGGGGACAGGTGTTAACGGCGGATAATCTTCGTAAAAATGGCTATTGTATTACGGAGTGGTGCTATATGTGTAAGAGGGATGGTGAGACGATCGATCATTTGTTCATTCACTGTGACGGTGTTCGTTGGATGTGGAATGATATTCTGCATTCGCAACATATGAGTTAGGTGTTGCCAAAGTGTATCAAGGAGGTGGTGTGAGCATGGAAGAGAAAGTTTCGAGATAAGAATAGTAAGCTTGTTTGGGATCTCATTCCCGGATGCATCGTTTAGTGTGTGTGGAGAGAACGAAATGGCAGATGCTTTGAAGACCAAATACGGACGACTGAGCAATTCAGGAAATTCTTTTATTTGACTTTGTATAGTTGATTTAAGGCTGTAACCATTAGTCCGATAGAAGGGTTGTCGAATTTTTTATCGTTTCTATCTTATTTAAACTGATAATGCACTCCTTGTGTATTATCTTTTAATTTTCATTTATAAAATTACGTGATTACCTATCAAAAAAAACCTTTCGTATAAACGGTTTGTTGCGTTTCAGGACCAACAGTGAACTCATCTGGTCTTTTATCATCTTACCAGTTGTCCAACTTCAAATCTTTTAAGTTCATCAGAATATTTAATTCAATGCTGGCCAAGATTTTGATTAGCAGAAGTAGAGAACATCAACTACATCTCTTTGCCTATAAATCTCACGCTTTGTGTCATTTGAAGGTAATGACATTTGAAATTTCTCATTCTAGAAATCTAAACACAATTCCCGTATCTCCTTCTCCATGTTTCTCCCACACCAAATTATTTACTCCTTTATTGACTTGAGTATCACAGTACGCACGATGGCCTCCCCCTTCCTTGGAGAAGCCTCAGTTTTGTGCCTCTTAATGTATGTGCCCAAGTGTGGAGGTAATGTACGAAAGATGAGTTGAAATTTGTTGACTACTAGGTCCTATCCAGATTTGGAAGTCAACGGTAACAATAATAAATAAAAAGCACTCAATATTTTTCATTGCTAACCTTCTTCGGCTTTAGGAAGAAGCCCTTCTTCAGAAGCAACAGTGGAATCCTAATGAAAAGAATATGATTGATGAAAAAATACAAAGTCGTCCAAAATGGAGATGCATAAAGAGGATTATTCAACCATATGTTTACCTTTCTACCTGGGACAAAATCAATAGTAGGGCCTCCACTGACCTCAACTGCTACAATGCCAGCAAGCTGAAATAATTAAAAGAATAAATTCAAAAACTACTTTTGTTGAATCACCTTATCTAAATACTTACATTGTCACAATTACAGTTTGCATAAGGCTTTTTAGCACAAAACATTTCTACGTTTGGCCTTTAGTGTGCAGAACATCTCTACGTTTCAATTTTTTACATTTTTGCCCATATTTCTACGTTTCATTGTGGAAAAAGTCTTTTTTCATCAATTATTATCCAGTTTCTCAATTAAAAGTTATAAAATGACAAATATACCATCATATCTAAATAAAACAAAAAGAAAAATAAAGAATAAATTACAATCATACTCCCAATTTTTTTAAAAAAGTAAAAATAAGTTCCACACACAGATGCCACTCCTCCCAAACCCTACGCAACCCGCCTATATATAACCCCAGACCGAAACATACATACAAAACACTCCATCACCAACAATGTCGGCCTCCTCCACCCAAATGGACCAACCATGCAATGTGGTGCGCCGACGCCTCTATCCATATCCCCACTGTCAATTCCCGTGTGTACTACTTCCCTCAAGGCCACCTGGAACACTCATTGTCAATCAAAAATTACAACATTTTGCTCAAAACCCCTTTGATTTCCTGCCAAGTCCTCTCTGTATCCTTCCTTTCGGACCCTTCCTCCGACCAACCATTCACCAAAATTTGTCTCCTTTCCCTCCAGTCACGTGGGCTGCATGTGGTAACGAAGAGTGTTGAGAAAAGAGATATGAATGAGAGTGATGTTTCGTTTGCTAAGATTTCCCGACTATTCAAATTCAATTCCTCGGTCAATTGTATGCTCTCATCAACAACATCCAAGTAATCTACACTTATTGTTATGGTTGGGGCTCAAGTTCAACCAAAACCAATTAAATTCCATCCAAAATCACAATACAATTGAATATAATTAGCCAGGAATCAATAACCAACTCAACTTCAAAGAAAACCAGGTAGTTTCCAACCAAAATCAACACATTCATTTCATTAATGGATGATTCTATTACAATGTAGGGGATTACAATCAAAAGACAAATATAAAAAGAAAGAGAGAAACCAATAGAGGAAGAACGAGAACAGCAAAAGAAAAGGAGAAGAACTTAAGATAAATAGGAGGAACTCAGCAGGAAAAACAGGGGAGAAGAAGAATACCAGACAGCAGAAGAAGGAAGAGAGCAGGAGAATGGAACACAGCAAGAAGAAGAAGAAGAACCGAGAAGATGAGGGAAGAAGACTCGGTTGCACACCCTAGTTCAATTCATCGATGCCTTTCCAAATGCAGAGACACCACTACATATAGACTCAAACAACAAGGGTTTTGGGCTAGCCCACTAACAAAACAAGCCCAATTAGATCAAATAAAGGTAAATGGTCCAATAAGCAAGAGTCCATGACATAAGACAAATTTACCCATTGAAAATGATCTTCTCGGAGGCCCCAAATCGCAGGTCGTCGGAAGGCGTGTCCTCGTCGGAGACAAAGGCAGAGAGATTGGAGAGGAGGTTGTCGAAGTTGGAGATAATCAGTAACATATCATCGGCGTCTGGAACTATTGTTCAGGCTCTAAATGATCCTTTGTGCAGTGGCTAAAACCTTATCTTGTCCTTCTATACTCATTGCCATTGATGTCTCCTCTATTTGAAAATGAACAGATTATAGCTAGGTTTTTTTATTAAATTAGGGTTAGAGATTTGGGATTTTTTGGAGGTGAAAATTCGAGTATTCAAATGGCTGGTTTCCATTTTAGCTTCCATTTTAGTAGTAATGCGCCAAAGAAAAATCTTCTTCTTCTTTCCCCTTGTGGCGAGAGTGAGGGTTGAAGGTGGGAGAGGGCAGTTGCGGACCCATTAAGGGTCTAGTGGGGGCAACTGCCCCTATTGGACTCTTAAATTTTTTACAATGAAAAAGCCCATAGAATCATTGATTAATAGTAGCCCAACCCAAGTCCAACAAAATCTTTTAACATTGTACTTCCCTTCCCGACTCCCAGTTCTCCCCTTTTTCAAGCCCTGCGAAGCGATTCTCAAACCCTGCGAAGTGCAAACTCAAAATCGGCACCGCATCGTTCTTGAAGCTGTGTTCTCTCACGTCTGGGTAACTGGGTTTGCTTTCTTTTTCTTTCATTTTGTTGTCAAGTGGATTTGTATATTACACACAGATTTCTTTGCCACTTTCTTCTTCCAACATTTGAATATTTTGTTCAATAATGGAATTTTGGATTCCAGATTATATTCACTGTTTATTCATTTAGTATATAATTATTTTTTCTGTTTGTGTTGATAATGGTTCTAATTTCTACTTCAGGATTGAATTTGTACTTTGTAAATTTCAAGAGTTCGGTTTATAGTTTAATGTTTGATAGGACTAAAATTTTGTCTATTGCATTATCGAGGAGATGATGGTTGAATTTGATTTTCCCATACTTGATTTTGAAAACTTCTCCTTTTTATGACGAGAGCCAAACTTGTTTCAATTTATTGTTTTTCAATAGTTTAGCGTTGCATTCATGATTGTGTGAATAATCTTCATTAAGAGTTTCAGGGGATTGCAATTCTTTGACAAGTTTTTCCATTTCTTGTAGGATTGGAGAGTGAGATGATCAGATCAAAATTTTTATTGGCCTTTGCTTTTGTTTATCCCCTGTTTCTTTCTATTTGATTTTAAGAAATTATAAAAACTCAAGGAATACTGAACCAAGTCCTTTTTTGGTGAATTGGTTCTTCTGTATATAAAAGAGCTAGCCTAGACCATTGAACCATAAATTAAATACTCAGATCTTTATTACTATTTTCGGTTTTAATAATAATAAGCAACAAATAATACAAATCCCATTAGGATGATAGCTGCATAACAATGCATATCTTAGTTTAAGCTTTCTTTGTGCATCCACATGTGGGAGACTATTTGGTTGAAGGTCTAATACAACAATATATCTCAAATGCTCGATATTCATAAAAGTTGTATCAGCTTTTAGAAATTTTACTATTTCCTGAATTACCAGCTTCCATTCTTTGAAGTCAACTTCCATTCTGTCTTGCCCCCTCTCAATCATAATACTGGATCCACCCCTGGGAGAGGGGGAAAGAAGAAGATGATTTTTAATTCTTTTTTGATTTTTTAAGTTAATTTATTTGGAACTTATTTGTATTTTTTAAAAAAGTTGGGAGTATGATTGCAATTTGTTATTTATTTTTCTCAATTTTTTTATTTAAGGAGGGTATATTTGTCATTTTACAACTTTTAATTGAGAAATTGGATAAAAATTGATGAACATGAAGTTTTCCACAATGAAATGTGGAAATAGGGGTGAAAATGCAAAATTTTGAAATGTAAGAATGTTTTACACATTAAAAATCAAACGTAGGGACGTTTTGGCTAATAAGCCGTTTGCATGACATCATATGTTACGATATAAAGGAACCCCTAAATTCAATCAGATGTAATTTGGTTTAGACAAACCCTTTCTATTTTTTACAATGTTGTATCATCATTCATTAGCCAATTAATCAAGCAAAACGGTTTGCATCAATGAAGTGACGAGCACCAGCTACAGGAAAAAAGAGAACTACTAAAAAAACTCTTAAAACTCTCTTACCTGGTAAAGATCAGCATACGATATTTTGGGGTGGTTAGCTTTTACGTCTTCTGTTATCAAAACAGAATTCAACCAGTAGAAAATTATAAGTAACCACAAATTTTTGGAATTAAGATTCACTGTAAACAAGTCATAGGACTCTAGCAGGGTTCTTCATGCAAAAAGAGGAGAAGAAGAAACTTGCTCGTTGGAATAAAAATGTTAAATGCCATTAATCGCCATACATTCTAGGGGTAGGGGGTGGTAGGTGGTAGGGGAAGGAAATTAAAACACTTCCCGATTTAAACTAAAGTTGGACGCTCCAAAGTTTAGATGTTGAGAAGACTGTGAGCCACTCTAATATGATTTTAGAATACAAATTCTTTTTGTACATATTCAATCAGCATCCAAGTAAATTTGGAATCTGAATATACTTTTTGTGAACTGTTTAACAAGTACAGAGACTTTTCACATGATCATGACTTTCTTAAACAATACAATGCTACATTGTAAATTGAACTTCTATAGCAAATGGTTTACAATAAAAAATATAGATCTTAAGTAATTGCAAAAGAGATATGTCCAAGCAACATTTGATCTCAAGATACTCTCTGATTTGATTCAACATATTGATTCCTTCAAAAGAATTAGGAATCACATTAAGATGGTTCAACTTAAACGATTTATCATTCATAAACTCACAAATCGGTATTTTCAAACTGTACAATTATATGTTAGGTACCTAACTAACTGAACCATCATTAATGCGAAATCATAATTTGTTGTTCTACTCAAAGGATCATGTCTCCCACCATGATACCACCCGCAGAAGTAGATTGTTGAACTTATACACAAAGCAGAAGCACTGAGAATGCTAATAGAAGGACTGAGTTTCCCCACTAACCATGCCCTATTCTCAAGAGGCTAACCACTAAAATATGAATGCAGAAACATGTTAACTCACCACAAAGATCAATCGCAATTTTCATGCCCCTATTTCCTGCCTGCTTGTACTCGTTCTCGTTCCTAATTGAGCCATTAGGACCTCCTGTCTTTGTTTTAGCATCATAAGTTCCCGCATCATGCCACCTGCAGAAGCCTCTTCTGTGAATATTTGAATTCTTCAAACTTGAACAATTATGTATTTGAATGTATATCAGCCAGCAAACACTTGGTAGCAGCTCAAAATTACTTTGAAATCACCCCACTTTTGGTACCAACATCCTATTCCCAAGTACAAACAATGATCTGTAGACATTCACAGGCATTTATTTCCAACTAATATCACATTTTACAGGATGTTAGGGGAATGCTCCTTAGTTTTCTATCAAGAAAACATAAGTATTGGCTTGCTCCTGATTACGGGTATATACAATTCCTTTTGGTTCATTGTTACAAACACAGTGGAATTCACATTTAAAAACGGCTTGTAACCTGCTAATAAAGTCACATGGCAGTCCTTAAAAGAAAAATGCATATGAAATGAAATTTGAGAAGGGGTAGGGTTTACGCTAAGCGAAGCATGATGGGGGCACAGCTCTTGCTGGAAATGAGGGCCCTAAGGTCTCTGCGAGCCCTCTCTATCTCCTTCAGATACTCTCCATCCACCATTGCCATACCTCTCTGTTTCTCTTTTTCTTTTTCTTTCTAATTGATGAATGAATATGTTTCAGATTAGGCATTATATTTGTAGGATTGAAAGAGAATTGGAGTGCTGTGTGGGATTGGAAAAGGATCGAATCTCTGAGGAAAACAAACACAAGCAAAGATAAGAATTGATTCATTTCGATTCTATAAAATGAGAATTGTAATCAAACAACTACTCAAAATTGACTCTTCCATTCGTCAAAATAAAAAATAATTCAAGTTTACAACACAAGCATTTATAACACTTGTATCCTACTTATTTTCCAAGTTTTCATTAATTAATAGTTTTATATTCAAAACTATCCAAAAAATACTATTCCAAAAATTATAATATCAAATAGTCGGGGCCAAACAAGGGTTGATAATAGTTTTATATTCAAAAGTCAATATAACGTAAAATTACTTATTTTGCATCATTTTTTAAAACAATAAACAAAAAAAAATTACAAAAAAATATTTTTTTCATTATTTCAAACACATGAAAACAAAATATTTTGATAAAAATTATAACTGAATAAGAGACGTACTAATTAATGAAATATTGAAGATGAGAATTCAACAAAAAAAAAAGGTTAAGAAAATCATTACTATAATGAGCAAAAATTGAGGAGCTTATCTGTAATTAAAATATGAGTGTCAAATAAAAATTGTGTTCATAATACAATCAGCCGCATTAGATGGGAACAAGAAAGAGTAAATTACATAATCACTCTTTAAGATTTATGACAATAACCATGGCGCGAATTAAGATCGGACTAAAAAAATTAAGCAAAACTAATATATATTTTTGAATTATGATTTTGTACATTCCTTGGTGACATCTTTGTTGACATTGTATGTGCCGTCGAAATTTGTGTTAGTGATTATTTTAAGTATTGTTAAAATCGAAGGCAAAAATATTAGCTACCTCACACAATTTCGACCAAACTGTCAACTAGGCTGTACTTGTAGCAAAATTATATATTTTTTCACGTACAAAATAAAATTAAAAGAAAAAAAACTAAATGGGCTGGCAGCCCCCTATATCCTCCCCTGGTCAATAATCTTAGCCTAAGTTCCCTACTTTGTCTCACTCTCCTTGTGCTCTTTATATAAGAAATTGACCTCATAAATTCTGGTGTTTAGCTTACAAGTGACGTGGCACACTAGAATAGATGGTATAATTAATTTTGTAATTAATCATTATCTCTCACCACATATTGTAATGTATCATGTCACTCGAGTTAAGCACCCATGTTTAGGAGATCTAAAATATTTTAATTTTAGATAAGATGCTTATTTTAATTTTTAAATGTTTTATTTTTAATTTTTTGTACAAAGTGATTTTATTTTAATCATATTTTTTGTGATCCACGTAGACTTGTCAAAGTTTCGTTTTAGAACAGAACCAAACCGTTTAGAAACCATTTGAGTTCAATAATTAAAAATCACTTGAAATCAAATCAAAATGTTCACCCAATTTAAAAAAGAAAAATTACTTAGGGTGTGTTTGATGGATATTATTGAGAAAATAATGTATAATTTATTGACTCTAGGAAAAGACTGGTTTATGAAATATTTCTGAAATAATGAATTTGGAATTTTAATTTTATGGTTGAACTTTGAATTACTTTATTACTTTAAGTTTGTATTGAGAGTTTGAGACGAATATCAGCATTGTAAAAAAAAGTTTTAATTGAAGTGTTAAATGGAAATTTTCGATCAATATATTTAGTTTTTCACTGGTTTGAAAGATGTTTTTATGTAATTAAAATCGTGGTTTAGAATCAAACCAAATTGCAAAAAAAATGATCTGATTGAAAAAATGAAATGATCTGATTGAAAAATAGTTAAAAAAATCGTTCAAACCGAACGATGCTCAACTATATTTTACTTATTGTTCTAGCTTCTGATAATGTTTTCAATAGGTTTAGACAAAACTCTCGAATTGAGTGATTCTTCTTAAGTTAAAGGTCGAACGGGAATCGAAATTGAAAATCGACGGGTTTAATTCGGTTCTCGATTCTAGACCAAAAACCAAATATGGATTGAATCTCCCTAATTTTTTATCTTAAATAGTCAAATTATTTTTTAAAATAAATTTGCAAACTAATGATTTTACTATTTCTAATTTCAGTTACCCAACTTAATCAAATTGACTTAAGTTTTACCCAACTCTCTTATTCTACCGTAGTGTCGTTTGTTGTTCTATTATTGTGAGTTTGCTATCTTCTTCTTCATATGATTTTAACAGTCAAATTTATGAAAAACCCAAAAAAAAGATATACAAAATATATCACGAGATTGGATTACGTTATTTTGTAAAAGTTAAGATTGAACAATTATAGTCGAATTAATGTAGCGTTGTTGTAAATATAAAAAAAAATTAATTATTGTGCGAAACCCGAGACTCAAATGGAACCAAACCGAATGAAGCAGAACACCAACGGTTCCACTTACTAAATATACGAAAATTCGGGTTCAGTTTGATTCTTTTTAGAACTGAATTGAACTATGTTCAATCCTGATTTTCAAACAAAAACTTGAAAGGTCAGTGGTCAAAATTCTTGAATTATTTATGTGATTTTATAAAATTTTAATATTTTTTCAACTATATTCCAAATTAATATAATTTTAGATTTTTTTTTGTACTTTTAAGACGTGATACTATACTTTTCTATATTATGAAATAGTTGAACTAATTATAACAATAATGCTATGTAATATCAATCGAGGTGATATGGAGAATCTCATTCACTGAGCTTGCTTGGCTAAACTTTAAGTGATCGGAAGCACTGAGTTCCAAATAATCTGTGATTAATAAGCTCATAAAATTTTTGGATTCTAAAAAATGTGTTTGATCAATTTATAAGTACTAAGGCTGTGTCTGGACACACTTTTTCAAACCTATTAAAATCATTTTTATAGCCGTTAACAGCAAACCAGCAGCAATAATTGACTGCTCCACTCATTGCTGGAGCTCAGAAATTGACTGCAACAGTCCAATTTTTCTCTTGCAACGGTTGGAATTACAATTAAAATTCCAACGAGACAGACGCTAATAGATTTTCGAACATGTACTAAGAGACACTTTAAAGTTGGAATGCATTTTGGTTTACCGGGACACGCCGAAAGACAATATAACTGATTTCAGAAAAAAAATATATATATAATATATATATATATATTGTATTTGGAACAGCGATATTCAAGGATGTCAATTGAAAAATATCAGAAAATAATGGGCCGTAAGCGGAAATAATTTTTTTCTTTAGTCGATGAAAGGGCACAACGGCTAGTTCGTGAAACGGTAACTTGCAACGGGCAAAAAATTCAAATATATTCAATTCAAAAATAGACCCTGCCTTCTTGTCCTCCCTTGCCCTCACTCTCAATATTCTTCCCCCGCTCTCTCTGCACTCTTCTCCATTTTCGCGGCTGCTCTCTGAAACCACTACAATTTTATCTTATTCCTTAATTCCTTCTTCTGAACTGCAAATTATTTAGTCTTAAACCACAAAAAGTGAAGATGATGAAGGACATGTGGAATGCGCCCCCGGGTTTCAGACCTACTAAATCAGCTCCTTCATCGCCAGCCAAGCCTCTTGGGATTTCGCGAACTCGGTCTGAGTCATTTCACGTCACGTACAAAGTCCCAGTTGGTGACACCCCCTATGTACGAGCCAAAAATGTTCAAGTAAGTCGTAGATCCCATTATTAAGGGTAAAAAACTCATTTCTTGTTCTATTTTCCCTTTGAGATATTTTTGTTTTGGTGCTGAAATTGAGCCTATATTGTTTTCTCTTGACATTCGTTTGTGTATCAGTTAGTGGATAAAGATCCAGAGAGAGCAATACCGCTGTTTTGGGCAGCAATTAATGCAGGAGATAGAGTGGATAGTGCTCTGAAAGATATGGCCATTGTGATGAAGCAGCAAAATAGGGCTGAAGAAGCCATTGAAGCAATTAAGTCGTTGCGCCATCGCTGTTCAGATCAAGCTCAAGAGTCCCTTGACAATATTTTAGTTGACCTTTACAAGGTAATCTACGAATTTTCCTCTTTGTTCATCTTATTAATTACCCGGTTAGAATCTTGCCAATACTGCATACGAACTTGACATAATGGTTTGCTTGTTCTCATTAACTTGTATAATTGCAGAGATGTGGAAGATTAGATGATCAAGTAGCATTGTTGAGGCACAAATTGTATCAAATTCAGCAAGGAATGGCTTTCAACGGGAAGCGCACCAAGACTGCAAGATCCCAGGGGAAAAAGTTTCAAGTGTCCGTGGAGCAAGAGGCCACTAGATTGCTGGTACTAATTCTATCAAATCAAATTCCCATTTTATATATACTTATGCTGAATGGAATTGAATTAACAATCAAGAATTTTTTATTTTTGGGTATTTTGAAGGGGAACTTAGGATGGGCATTGATGCAGCAAAACAATTACATTGAAGCAGAGGATGCTTACAGGAGGGCCCTATTGATTGCACCAGACAATAACAAAATGTGCAATCTCGGCATTTGTTTGATGAAACAGGGGAGAATAGACGAGGCGAAAGAGACTCTTAGAAGAGTGAAACCAGCAATGGCTGATGGTCCTAGAGGTGTAGATTCCCATCTCAAGGCCTATGAGAGAGCACAGCAAATGCTTCGAGATCTGGAATCTGAATTAATAAATAAGAGCGGGGATAGGGTCGAACAGAGTAAACTGTTTGATGCATTTCTGGGCTCTTCTGCAATTTGGCAGCCTCAGCCTTGCAAGGAGCCTATCAAAAAATTTTCTAAATCTGAAAACGAATTTCCCGATGAGAATGTCAACACTAACATCATAACAAACCCGGTGGTTCCCCCCGTACAAAAAAGTTTCAAGCAAGCTGTTTCTTGGGGAAATTCACTCAATATCGATGCACCACCATTCTTTTCGTCGAAATTTGCCATGCAATTCCCAGAGAGCCTTAAGAGAACGAGGTCTGGAAATGCAGCAAATTCAAGTTTAAATGAAATGGGAGGAAAGCAAATGATGTCTTTTGCAGAGCCGGAAAATAAAATGCAAAAGCCGGCTTCTTCACTGGAGAAAACAGAAGATAAGTGGGCAGGTTTGCTTCCGGACAGTGAGGATTTTGAGAATGCAATTATCGCTGCGGTTTTGGGTTCCGACAGTGAAACCAAAAGGGCAGAGGAAACAAGAAATGATACTGGATTTCCTCAAAGGAAGGTTGACAAAAGGCTAAAAGTTTTTCAGGACATTACACTGTCTTTGAGTCCGAGGACGTGACTTTTTGACATTATTACAACATTCATATGACACTAGTTCTGATTTAATGAATCTAATTTATATGTTTTTTCATAAAATTTAGGTTGGAGATGTACTTGTTCTCCTCAATTCTCATTCCTCAAGAGAGGTGGGATGATGCAATTATGTTGCTATTGTCTGTCATTCATGTTTGCCTTTATGCAACAATAAATAAAAATTTCATTTTTAACTTTCTATCATATCCCAATTCCATTTTACCACGTTTCGGGTGCTTGGAAAACTCCATGATTTTGATAGATGAGAACTTTGGAAGGGCAGAAGCCCATTGTGATTCTTTAAGGGCACAAAAAGAGATGAGATGTGGCTAAAAGTCCCCTGTAACAGAATTAAGCTTGTCCCACTTCAGCCCATGGCTCCCGCTCGCATACAGAATTAATGCTGATAGCAACCCAAATGTTTCTCTAGAATTTCTTCAGCATGCCTTAATCACAGATAACCAAACCACCTTCTCAGGTTGGAAGAAAAACCTTATGCTTCCATGACGGATGTCCAACGAATACGAGGGAGGCTACTCACCCCACTCTTCAAAGGAGTCCTAAAACTTTATTTTTCCACTCATTTAGCCTAGTTTTAACTCTCTGAATGATATCATCATTTGATAGACGCTCTTCTTTCCAAGATAAGTTGTACCATTAGGTACATATAATTTTATGAAAATTTCATTCAAGATCGAGGTAGAAAATATAACTACAAATCTGTACAAAAGGACGAAATATGTACAAAAAAACTGGAAGTAGGATCCAAAATACAAAAAGCTGAAAGTTGCAGGGGTGATCACGGTTTGCAAACCATGGTCCACAGTCCATCGCAGGGGCGGAGCCAGCCTGTTGAACTAGGGGTCCCGGAGTTGAAGGGGTGGGGGCCCACGGCTGCCCCTGAAATTTTTTTTGAAACGTTATGTGTTAAAATGAGGAAAGTTGGTACTTTGAGATAGAGAAAAGAAACAACGGAACATAAATTAATATACAAAAACTTAACAAAAAAATCAAAAAACGTAAAAAAGAAAGTACTAATATTTAATTTATCAAAATCATATCTTATTACAAGTGT